CGCCCCCCCCCCCCCCCCCCCCCCCCCGCCCATATGCCATTTAGGACTAATATAGTCTCTCTACTGTCAGAACCTAACGAGCTCCCTTGAGCTAATTCGTATGATCTCTATCTTAATGATATAATATCAACTGCTGGGAACTATCCCGACTACACTAAGGAGGTTGCTTTATCCTTCCTCCCGAGTTAGTGATACTCCTTCCGTGACTAGCTTATAAGGCCCTAGGACGGCTCGAGTCTTCGATGTCTTCGAAGACGATCGTATTAGACAAAGTGACGGTGAGTATTACAAAAACTCTACTCTAAACGAAAGGAAGCGAACTTTGGAAGATTCAGATACCTCCTCCCTAAAACGACGTCGGTACCGGACTTCTACCATCATAAATGCGAACAAGCCATGAGGAAAACGAGCGACGAGGAAAACGAGCCACGAGGAAAACGAGCCACGAGGAAAACGAGCCACGAGGAAAACGAGCCACGAGGAAAACGAGCCACGAGGAAAACGAGCCACGAGGAAAACGAGCCACGAGGAAAACGAGCAGCTTAGGAGCCGGAGAGCGACCACTCGAAAATACAGAAGGCTATTCCGCTAGTAATCTCGTAGGGCCTAGGAATGCGATCGCATATCTAAAGCGCGCTTATAGTCTAGTTACTGCTGAGGCTTAGTTTTCTGACGATATCGCGGGTGTAGATATTCTTAAAGAAAACCTTGTAGTGCTTTAGCTTTGTAACAAAAAACGCTATAACACGCATATTATTGCTATAAGCACTATAGCAATAGAAAATCCGGCGCGAGAGGCTACGACTGTACAACAGCGGTCGACCTTCACGCGTAGTAATTGGACTATGGAAGATGATCGCCGATTGTTGAGGCTGAGGCTCTTAAAATCTGTTATAGAGTCGTATTCGAGATTTGTCCCCCGAAAGGACTGGACTTTGAATGCAACTAGAAACCGTAGAGTCTGTGCTCGCGAGCTGATCTTGGAAGGAAGTTGGCTGAAAAATGTTTCCGCACCAAACGAAACGTATCTGCCTTGAACGTTGGTTAACGAACCGTGAATCTTCCACACGCTTTCACGAATGGCTTCCAATAAACATCATATGCCGTCTACTATGTCTACCAAGATGTTGCGTATAAAGGAAAGGGGGATTGTCTAAAGAAACCCAGGTGATTCATCTGAACCCTTTGCCAGCTCCCAGAGAAACTCTGGCTCCCAGAAGAAGCAGTCTATACTCTTGGGGCGTTATTGAATGCTCCAGGAGGCGCGTTTGCGATCCTGGGATTACTTAGCCTCCTGGGAGTGCTAATAGTCGCTCTCAGGAATACAGTCCAAGCCTCTTAGAAGCTGATCAAATGCATCCAGGAAGCCAGTGAACAACTCCCGGGAACCTCCGTTCCTCCTGGATATCAGTGGCATATGTCAAACAAGAAACAGAACAGATATGGCCCCACTAGGCCGTAAACAAGAACCGAGGTTTTTGTTATGGCCTAGTGGAGTATTATATATTTCTGCTTTGGAATCCCACCCTGGGTTGGATAATAGTGGACCTGAGTCCGGGTCGCCACACTGTATCTTTTCCCACACAAGGTTTCAACAGAGAGTAAACCTACTAAGTCTAATCGGGAATTATCCGCAACTTTACTTCTATCTAATGGATAACCTTTTAAACTATTCTCCTTCCTCATATATTCCCAGTCCCAGTCTCACATTCTTCTTTCAACCTCCTCATTCCATTCTATTCATCTTCTTCAATCTCCTCTACCATGTCCTTTCAAGCAATCCTTGAACCTCACTCAGATCTCCCACCGGTCCGGTTGTTTTCACTCAAGAACAGATAAGATGCCTTGAGGAGGCCGCAATCTTCCTGCCCGAGTCGCAGCCAAATGCATCGACAAATACCAGTGGGAAGAGAAAGGTTTCAGTTGCATTCAATGCACCCAGATCTGTCTCAAATTCATCTACCTCCTCGTCGTCTTCTGCGTCCGTTACCACCCGTGGTTTCCAGCCCCATGTTATCCAAACCTTCGACATCACAATGGCAGAAGAAAGTGTCGAGGTGCTTGAGTATATTGGGTTTATACCAGATGTTGCCAGACTGATCTATGACCGATATTGCAACCGCCCAAGTCCAGCCCAAAATCCCGACGACCTAATGGCGTATGTCTCCGGGCATCTCGCCTCTCTTAACCTACGACAATACGATCACATGGGCCACCAAGAAGCACTCGCTCATGTTGGTCTTACTCGTCAGATTCAAGAAGCAATCACGGACCCAAGATTCTCACATCTTCGGTACCCAGACCCTCGCTTACTGGGCTAAAGATACTGTTGAAACCAATTATGCCGCTCTTCTTAGCCAACAGCAACTACTCCAAAGTCATGCAAATCAGCGCATGGCTCATAAAAGGAGGCATAAGCGGCCCGGGCATGAGCCTAGACATGAGCCCAGCCGACATGAACAAGGCCCATCCCAGCAGCAACCCGTGACAGCAACGATTAACATGACACCTCAAGATTTCCAATTTCCGGACGCATATGTGATGGTTCAGCCTGATGCCGATATCCTCGCCGAGCACATTTCTTTATATAAGGGCAAGTCACATGTTGAATTAAGGCAACCGGGTGATATCATTGAGAGTGATGGGAGAGTCAACCTAAGCACACTGAGAATACCCCCCGGCGGAGACTTTAACTGGAATTTTAATGCGCACTACTGGACTCCCGAAAAGGAAACGGCTGAAGAGTACCGCGAATTCGCAGCAAGGAGATGCCCTACAGCCGATACCTGCATTATTCACATTCAGGTTCCGCAATCATTCATCAACAGCCTCCGCTGGGAGAACCTATGGTATTCTCCCAACTGGAAAGAGTACATCTGGACATGTAGGAGAGAGCAAATGCCTCACCCGAAATTCGACTATCTCTGGCAACCTGGGCAAGCTGATATTGTCAGGGGCCCCATCTGTTCTACCATCAGCACACAGATAGTCCGCATCCGCAAAGAAAACGTCCAAAGTCGTATCAGTGAGGACCACGTGATGCGGTTGCCGTCTGGGAAAAAGGCCTCTCAGTGGGTATTCATTCAAGGCGATACAATCAATCGGTTAGCAGAACAAATTCGAGGGAAGATGCACTTTATCATTTTCGAAGCCACAGCGCGTTCCTCTATGACCACGGTCTAGGACAACCACTTCCTTCATCACTCTGAGTGCTTTCATTGCAGCCGCTTTTCGGGTCCTTCTTCATTTATCTGTTGGCATGTTTCTATCTTGCCAAAATCACCCCCTATTGTGAAAATTTGCAACATTCGCATGGCTGCCCCCTAAATTTCCGTGGTTTACGATATCTGCCCATGTCACTGGTCAAGCCACCTTCCTCCTTGCTAGCTGGTCTACAGACGGCCGTTCCCCCTATCATTCCATCAGCTGTATTCTAGTCCATTTTCTATTTGCTCCTTTGCTTGAGGAAACCGAAACCCATCAATATTCCAAGTGTTATAACGTATAAACTCTTAGTCTCCAATTAGACCTATCGATATGCTGTGTGAGCCCAGCGCGACATTTGGATATATGAAGCTTGCTTAAGTTCTGTTTATAGATTTAGATATCATTTAAAAGAATAGTCGTCATATGCGGCCTCTGTCGTTGACGTAGGATTTTAGATATCTAATCCGTTCGGCTCACACTTCTCCAACTTCTTGTTCCAACCTATCTTTAATCTCGAATCGAACTTGGCTCATACCCTGCTGCTTGCAAGTCCCTTTTCTTGGAATTGAGCTTGGTTTTATTCCACCTCTACACTTCGTGCAACATGCGCCGTTGCCTCTAACAGCCCGACTCATAATAACCACGCCTTACCTCTTCGCCTCACGAGGAAGCTCCTCCCTACACATCGGACCATTTAAATATTAGAAACCGGTCTTGTTGGCTCCGTAAAACAGATGATTTATCATTTTTGTCTAGAGCGACTACAGACGGAGTGGAGAATACTAAGCACACACGTCACCACTGATCCTTTGCCATAAGCATACTGAGCGAAGGGTGAGCCGATCGCGAGCAGCGAGCACTGCTCAGTGATCAATAGTATATTTAAGTGCACGTGAGGTTATGATGACTAAGACTTCGGTAAAAAGGGTGCTTAAACCGGCGTCCAGTGTAGCCATTTTCGGCAGCCGATTTACCGTCAATTAGCGCTGTGGTGCAATGATAAGCCTAGTAAACAACACCGTTCTAATTTCTATTTGGATTGAGCTTGTTGAGCTTCGAAATCTTGTTTGTCGGGGTAGATGGCAAGAAGAGTCGCTGGAGCAAGAGCAGTTCTTGAAAGAGAAAACGCCGAAGTGAAGTAGATGAAATCATTTGCGGGCATGAACAGCAGCCGCTAGGAAAATAGTCCCACGGGAGTATTCTAAAGATCGGCTTGAAATATTCTACTTAATTAATATTTGTACTTTTCAGGCATTTTTTTGGATACATTTCTTAATGCCTCCCTGTTATTTCCTTGCCAGATGACACTATACGCGCCCGTAATCATCTTGCCAAAAAAATTAATTTTGCAAAGGCCGACTTGGGATAAAATATTATTGAAATTGTCTACGCTTTGTTCCAAATCTCGTATACAAGGGCGGAATCGGCTTTTTTAAAGATGTACTGGGTGCTACTGGTCCATGAAAACATGAGCAAAACGCTTCGCCAGACGGAAAGCCGGCTCTGCTAGAATGTCCGTTGGTCAAAACTGTCACCTATATACTCCACAAACCATCCTCGGGGATGTCCAGGTTGCCATCGTTGATTTGTGGTGGGAATATGGTATTCCAAAGGTTCTGTGGGGCCTGTCAGTAAAGCACTGTGAGGAATGAAGATAGTATAATTTACCCAGTCGATCTCTAGCATCTGTGAATCTATGTAATCCGGCTGTCCATTCATTTCGCCATGCCCTGCCGACGAGCTCCCTGTTGCGTTCGTTGAGGAGTTGTTGTGACCTGACTGAAGCATCGGATTGTCAAGTAATGGATCTCCAAAAGGAGAGAATCCTCCTACAGTAGTCCCCCAAGTACTATTAGTGTTGCTGGGAGTATTCAAGTGCTCATTGACAGGTCCAGTTCCACTTTCTAGTGGCATTCCTGTGGCTGGCTGGGATATTCGTGACTGTACTTCGGCATAGCCAGACATGACACCGCTTGGAGGTATTGAAGCATATCGAGCATTGCATTCTGCCTTTGGTTCCCCATGTGCATAATTGAGTGGCATCCTAGGATCGGAATCATCACCATCCTTTTGGGGCGGAACGACAATCATCGAGTCTTTGAACCGGACTGGTGTCTTTATTCCTTTCGTTTTTTGATAAGCATGCATGTGCTCGAGAATCATCATCAGCAAATATCTCGCTTTCATGTCTCGCTGTGCAACGATTTCTTGAATGCTCTGCGCCGCTCCTTTTTGTTCCAGTGGAGGGAGAGTCGAGATAGCATCCGCAAAAATAAAATCCAGACAACACCATATGCGGCTTGATTCTCTGCGCATCGGAAAAAGGAAAATCTCGTGAAGCAAGAGAAATGCAGTATGATATTCCTGCCAAGAAGAACTGTACCACGCCCATTTCTGAAGATCTTTTGCTGATTCTAACTCCACCGCGGCTTCCAAAACGTCGGTGCCTTTGGTCAGCACTATTTGGCGCAACCTGTCTGGAATCTGATATGCGATGTTGGTCACGTATCGATTCAGGATATTGATGTATAAGAGGCTTGTAAGAAGCTTGAGCACTAGACTGGCCATTTTCTGCATTGGACTTGGAGACGCTACATTGAAATAAGGGCCGTATTTGGCATTCATCCCAATGCAGAAAGCCTCTATCTTGGATAAGACTTTGGTTAGGCTGAGCTTCTTTTGGTCGAGTCTATTGCGCAATGCTATGTTTTGCCGAGTCATTTCCTGGCATTCAAATCGAATCATGGAAAATATTATGTCGTTCCAAGCTTGTGGTTTATTCGTGGATGTTTGCAATGAAGTTACGTCCAGAGGAAGTTGAGTCGTATATCCGTCTCTGTGAATGAATGGGCGGGGGCCATGGATCGCGCTTGTCTTGAGATCAAGATAGCAGACTTGATACCAAACTAAGCGTCGAGTATGGCATTCGGTGGGAGAAAATCCAAACTCAGTAGGATCACGGTGAAGCCCCATGCACTCGGCCAGTCGAATCAGCATACCCGTCAAAACAGAGTGAGCGCGAGATATCTCGTTGAGACACATTGAAAGCTAAACTATACATGAGAAATCAGTCATTCCATTGGGAATATTAGAAGCCTACCAAGTATGCAACGAATGCCTGTAAAGTCTCAATCTTGCTCGCTCTAAGCAGCTGAGCTCGACCGAGAGCTAGCTCAGTACCCAGTTGCAAGCTATCCTTCAAATATTGCTTGGAAGTTTGGAAAAGCTCTGAAATCTGTTCTTCGGACATCGCAACTGAAGCAGAGAATAGAATGGAGTAAACAATTGCTGCAAGCGATGGGGGCACCGGATACCCATTCTCTATTGTCTCCCACAGAGTTTCGTATCGTTGAACGAATGAAGGTCGGTGGACAACTCGGGACACTGGATGAACCGCATCCCAATAGCATTCCATCAATTTGTCTGCAGCACTGCGAGGGGGGAGATACCGAGTCAAAGCATCTCCCGAAGAAGCCTGAGTAAACAACAAATTGATAGAAGGCATCATGAAATACGGTCCTGGTCGCAAAAAGTCCTCTGTTATACCGGGGGGGCTCGGTGACGGTATTGAGGGGGAAGACCCTCTGGGATTCTGTTGAAGGGAAAGCAAGATCTGTAGCATAAATCAGTCATGAAGAATAATGCGCAAAGAGAACAAGTACTGTAACCACACCTCGTCTGCAATCCTTGGACGGTAGTAGCCTCCGATCCTCTCTCCCATCCTCATTCTGCCAATCCTGAAGCCTAGATCTTCAACATCATCATCAGCTTCGTCCGCGTAGGCTGCGTCTTGAACTGCTAGCGGTGTCGGCTCCAAATCTCCGTCATTGGCGGAAGTTTCCGAATCATCGCTCATGGGCTCTTCGGGATTTCTTGTTCGCTTTCGCCGTGGGCCACCTTTTGCGGATTCTGGTTGATCTCCTCTAAGAGTGTTATCGATTGCATCTTTGGCCTCTTTCATCTCAGTCAATCTTTGACGAAACTGGGTATCTGCGTTTACAGAAGTGACGTAGATGCATTGTTCTTGCGATGCGCGACAGTTTTGACAGGGATTCTATCTGGCTTGTTAGGCAATTCCGATATGAGGGTCCGGGTATACATACTTCCCTATCACATTTCATCTTCCTCCGACGGCACTCAAGGCATGAGTGGATCGCCCGGTTTCGGCGCCGGGCCTTTTGTTGAGGCTTGTGTGCGCTGCTAGCGGCGGTTGCATCGGTGCCTGACAGATTCCCGGTATCGGGAGACTCGCGCTGCCGATGAGCTCCGTCGGCAGAAGACGCGAAAATCGACATTTTAGGGGACGCTCAATGGTATTGATAGATATCACGTAAAGGTTCCCATGGAGTAGGATAAGTGAGAGGCTAATAACACAGCCTGGATTAGCGACGTCCCACGGTGAGATGTCAGACGAGGCTAAATGGTTAGCCCATAAATCGGCCAATGAGACGCCACTATCGAGCGAATTGAGGCTGTAACTGGTAAATGATCTCACTTCGCCGTTGTGGCTTCATGTTGACTTCCCTCTTGATATTGGATATTTCTCAATACGCTGGGACTAGACCTCGCCCAACGCGGGTTTAGGGCGGGTTTTTCGCAGACAATTCCATGGAAGCGCATAATAAATGCATAAAAATTACACTAGTCAGCTTTGATGATATTGGTAATCTATTTCTGTATCAATTTAATATGGGCAATACCGTCTCAAGGAATCAAACTTCCTCACCGAGATATATATATATATATATCTATGCTGCTGCTGCAACTGCACCATGTTCTGAACCTCGTTGCCTCCCACACTGTGTCTCTGGACACTAGAAGGCTCAGTGCATCGGCCAGATCTCATTACTCCTGGCGCTATGTCGATGATGGCACATAGAACTGCCAATCAAAGCGACAGCTCTGAAGGCTTCTGGGGCTTCCGAGTGAAATGGTCGGTTCGATGTCACTCTAAGGCGGAGAACGGAGTGGCAGCAGGCCAAACACATATTGCTATGTAATACAAGGCTAATCTAGAACGCAGGGGACTGGTGACCAACCATCTACGACCACCAAGTCCTCTTGGTGTGGATCGCAAAATTGGGCTGGTGTCCCATGGGGCGCTTGCTGTCTAGAGTGGTTGCAAATCCTGGGAAATGGCGGTCGGGCCGTGATTCACACCATACGCGACGGCTTCGAGTGATTGGAGTTTTGAGGGAGCCCTTAATGCCGTCGAGGCGTGGCCTAAGCTCACCTCGTTGGTACCATTATTCATTGCACTTCCGTTGTTGACGCTAAAAGCCGCAGTGCGAAAGCTCAATGCGCCATGCTTCCTGATTCAATAAATTGCTTTCTTCGTCATTGGATAGTCGAACAAAGTCTGTGAGAGTCATGTTCTCAAATGAGGTCATTCCGCATTCTTGGAACTTTGCCAGTCGGTGACTCAAAGCCTCGTTTGATCGGCGACTCAACTCAAGGATATGTGCCATTGCAACTCTATATCTCTCTTGGAGTGCTTGGATCTCGTTCTCACTTCCAGGATGATGCCTATGGCGCCAGGCATTGTGGAATCTCTTCCGGTGGTTATCAAATGCAGTGTGAGGCAGCATACGAAGACAGTCGCTGTAGGCCCACAACATCGATTGCTATTCGGCTTCAGACCAGGCGGCTTGGAGTTCGTTGGGTTTTACATTGTAGATGAGTGTGGTCCCACCTTATTGCAGAGACTCGAGAGACAGCAGCCGTCCACAGAAATCCAGCTTGGTTGGTTGGTTGGTTGAATGACGAATTGCAAATAGACGTTTGTCTGGCTGACCGATATCAGACCCACCGGGTCCAAGAGTTGGAAGATGGAATACAGTATCTCGGCTGCAGCTTGGTCAGCGACGGAGAGGGCGTGAATGCCATGCTTTTCGCCTCCCCGCAACTATCAGCCTTTAATGGGACTTTTCTCGGATTTTGGACTTTTATCATTTTCAGAGTGCGAGCCTTGGCGGTCTCACATCAGGCTAGTGGCCCCCAACTTCCTAGCCTCCTGTGCGAGTCATTTTGCCACCATGCGAAGCAGCGTACAGTCCCAGCCGCTTTAGTAGAAAGGAGACTGGTCCGTCTCTAACTATACAGTGCCACGAAACCGGCTCTCCAAACAAGGACCTATCGGGGCGCGAGACCATGAGCTAAGCTATAGCTATAACTTCTCTGAGGTGAAGCGAGATACTTCCAAGGATATTTACCTCCAAGTGACTACGCCGACAGCAAAGGTTATTGGGAAGAGGTGGGTTGTGGCTAATGGTGGTTTAAAATACCGATTATAATGATCTTCTATATATAGTCTTACGGCCGTAAGATGAACATCTAGAGATCTCGGTAGTAAGCATACAGCCGGACTTAATGAAAACAGACTAAAGTCTAATTTACCGAACTTGGAGCCACTATTTTGAGACGTATACAGGCGGAATTATGAATCATACGGCCGTAAAGACTCGCTCTTAGCAAAAGGGCGGGATTCGCAGTTGGAGGCGACTGCCGGTGATAGCTCCCCACCTCCAGCTTTGCACTGCCACGAGGCTCCCATATTCATGATTTACGTCCGTAGGACTCTGTTGAGTTGTTGTACGTACAATCCCGCCCTTCATACGATCCTCTCACATTATAGGTCAAATCAGTTTTGTGCAGCCTAGACCGGCAACAATACCTGGCTTACTCTGTGGTTTGAGTTGCTTGCCAAGATCAGTGGATTTCCACACCAAGGCGAAGTCAAGACACATTGTGAAGGCCATGATAGTCGAACTTATAAAGATGAGAGCGATCCCTTCAAGTAAAAGTATATTCCGACAAGGTCCTATCATATAAATTCTGTATCTCGACATCAATTCTCTATAGAGCCTTCCCATCACAATGCTTATCACTCGAGACGGAGCACCGATTGAGTGTACGGAAGTAACTCCTGAATGCCCTATCGAAGGTACTATCTATGGATATGCCCCCAACTTCGCCGCAAACATCGCCTTTTGTGCCATCTTTGGGATTCTTTGTCTGGCCCAGCTTGTCCAGTTGCTCAAATGGCGCATGTGGTCTTTCGGTATTGCTGTGGTTCTAGGAGCCGTCTCAGAGGTCATTGGTAAGTAAATTCGTTGGTTTCAACCGCAATAGGCCCCTGAAATTACTTGGAGCATCAAGTTTTAACAAATTTCGATAGGGTACGTTGGCCGACTTATGCTGCACAGTAACGCGTACTCCGCCATCGGGTTTGAGACACAGATTTGCACCCTGACCCTTGCGCCTGCCTTTTGGTCGGCCGCTATCTACTTGACGCTAAAGCATAAAGTCAATCTTTTTGGACGCCAGTACTCGGTGCTCAAAGCGGAATGGTATCCTTACATATTCGTCACTTGTGATCTCTTATCGCTCATTCTTCAAGGAACTGGTGGTGGTCTTGCAGCCACAGCCAACACTCCCGACGACACTTCCCTTGGAAGTGATATCATGTTGGCTGGAATTATCTGGCAGGTGATTACTCTGACAGTGTTTGGGCTACTGTGGGCACAATATTTTTGGCGTGTCAAGAAGGCACAAGCGCATCATTTATCGCTGGACGATGAGAATGTTTGGGTGCGCAAAAATTTCTGGATCTTTTGTGGTGGCATTTTGGTGGCATTTTTGACAACCTATGCACGATGTGTCTACCGGTAAGTGCATCTCACATGCTACGCTTTTCTTTTTCTACCTTTCTTCTTTGTGGGGCATGCAAGCAATGAGATCTTGTTCTTTGAAGGAACGAGACACGTTTGCCACTAGCAAGAAAATGGCATAAATCGAATCTTTTCCCATCGCGGCTAAACAATTTTGCTGGTACTGATTCGTTATTCAGTATCGTGGAGATGGCCGGTGGATGGCGGAATTCCGTTATGCAAGACGAACCCACCTTCATCATCTTTGAATCTGTGTACGCATGAACACACTCCCGTCTCTATTTGAACTCAAAAAGCTAATGATAATGGTACAGAATGTGCGCTGTGGCCGTTTTAGCCCTCAGCATCACACACCCGGGACACTTTTTCAAACATATGAACGGAAAGTACGCGACGGTGAATACAGAGGATTCTATTTCTCTACAAGTAAAGTCGGTTCAGGGGAGCCTGGTCTAATCGCAGTTGAAAACTCCCGAATCCAAAAAGCCGCTATCAATTAGAGTTGCTTTCTGTCTTTAACTGTTGGAGAATTGGAATATATGAACTGTTACTGTATGAAGTGATCATTTCCGAATCAATAGAATTCCAGATTTGCTCCTAGGAACTAACATATCGTGGGCGAGGCGAGTGGAGTCTCCTTCAATTTTGTGATGCGCCTCATGTAAGCAAACCTAGCCGAAAATTGAGATCGAGTCCATTTAATGCAGGAAACTTTCTCTCCATGGCGCATCTTCAGATATGATGGAAGGCCTGTTAATTTATTCAGTATATTCTACAATTATGATATGGTTCTCTTAGTTCTTTCAAGAAAACAATATTGCCCTTCATTCATATATAACGGTTTCCTTAATGCGAGATTCATAGAGTTTCTAAGTAAAAATGAGATAAATGAGGATTGAGAATATGGTCAAACTTACTATAAGAGTCTTATATATACGTAGAGGTATTTACCGTCTTACTATAAACAAATAGTAATATTAAAGTAGCTATAGTCGACTCTAAAAATAAGACGTAGCTTAAGGAAGTAAAAGAAAGAGGCTTCCTCGCGCTTATTACGCACTATAAACTAGTTATAGTTAGGTTAGAAGGGTTCCGGGTAAACTTGCCTTATACTTCTTAGGTTTCTAACGTTAAAGATCTGTCTCTTAACCGTACTATTGCCAATAGGTAGGTCCTTTTAAGGGTATCGAGTAGACTGCGATAATGCCCGCCCATGATTATACAAAAGTAATGCAGAAATTGCCCCTTTAGGCTATTTTAGGTACATAAATAGTCTTGGCAGAACCCATTTTGCCAAGAGTGCTCAAAGATGTCTTGGCATTTTTCAAAAATGACTCCGCTTTTTTGGGCGTTGTCGCAGGGAGCGCCCAATAGATCTATACCGAGGTATTGATCTATTCGTGAGTGTTATTAAGTTATAATCAAGTAAAGAGTCATATAGTAATCTAAAAGGTAAATATAAGTAATAATATAGGATTAAAGACGAAGTGTAACGGGCCAATGCCCGCTTCATGAACACTGGGGTACCGTAGCACTTCATTGCTCTTTTCCCCTTTCTGACAAGGCTCCTCTTACATACCAATTGTAAATACTGACAAGGTCTTCCTCGGACAGAATCTGTACCCCAATGGCCCGCCTATAGGGGACCGAATGCCTCAGTCATGCATTTCGATGCTCGGCCTGACTACTTGCACGTCAGGGTTGGGAAAGAGTTCCGCATACCTCAGCAAGACTTTGTCAACTCTCTGATCTTCTGAGCAGAGGGTCCCCCAATGCGTTTCCCAGCTCGAGGAGAGGACCGAGGATTTTGAGTTCCCCACGGATTTCATGAATGGCGGTTGTTGGATGCCTGATTGGTCGGACATCCATGGGACAGATCCTGTTTACCCGTTTGCTTGTTTGCCTGTAGATAGATAGCTCTCGCTCTCTCTCTCTCTTCGTCCACTTTGTTCCAATTGGAAGTTTGAATCGACTACTTTGTTTCTCTAGAGATCTCCCTTGTAGTACGGTTTCTAGAGCAGTTGTACTTGACTAAATGGACAGAGAGAAGTGGATTAGGAAATATCGCACCATTCTGTGAAAGAACCAAAACACTTGCGAAGTAAATACTTTCTTGGATGTGGAAATTGAAACCATCACCGTATTAACTCAATTAATTGGACCTGTAGTCATAGTTGCTTAGCTGTCCCTACTTCTCCTTCTGCTGGTAACAGATCATAATATGCCCCTAACCACATATTCCCATATACAACTTGACAAAGAGCTAAGTTTAGTTGCCTCTATCACAGATTTCACTATGATAGAACTTTTCCTTTGATAGCGTCAAGTCTGGAACCGCAGGGTAATACCTGCACTGGGAATTGGTATATACAGGGGATATTTATCTCCCCAGAATGAAAATGATAGTCAGAACGGTCGTGGAACATTTATAATTGGCACGGATTTGGAGCAATTGATTCAGTATACATTATCATTTTTATCATGGTTTTATCGCATCATGTCAATGCCAAAACCAAGGCTAAGCATCTTTTTCCATTAAGAGATATCATTCAATATATGGCACACAATGGAATGGTCAGTTTAGCAGGCGACACAAAGGTTATGAAGTTGCCTTATCGATAGCTACGAAAGCTTACTATTCATTCATCTTCCAATGAAGTCTTAATATTCGACCTCTGTCTTCACTGTGCGCATTTTTCTATCATGACGGAGTTGGACAGAAAAAGCCAGATGAAGTTAACGACTAGCTAGTGTTTCTGGCTTGGAAGAAATGAGATCAAAAAGGCATCAACTCCGGACAAGTACCCAAAGGCATGGACAAGGAGGTCCACACCCTTTCTCCAGTTACGCCTTAATGCGAAGGTGTCTTGGTGTGGATACTTGAAGATTGGATTTCGCGAAGCGACTTCGCCATGTTTCCACAAGAGGAAGACCAGTCGTTGATTTCTTATCATACAACGTCAAATAAAGTCGCGGACTGCGAGGTTAGCATTCGCCTTCTGCATTGATTCGGAAAGCCAGGCAGGAGAAATTCAACATCCATTGATTAATTGAATCCAAAATCGTCGGACAGCTTAACTCATTGATAGCTCTGACTGATTTGTAATATACTTAGTGGAAGTTTGCCGTGGTGCTGCATATCCCTTTAAACTGATAATATTAGCTAAACATTGTGGCTTCAATGACTCAATCAGTCATTACGCTGACTGTTAAAAGACCCATTGAAATCCACTGCCTGTCGACTCTACTGGCGGCTTGACTAAATTCAAGGAGTCACTCATTTCAGTTTCCATACTACCATGTCAAAGAGGTTTTCATTGGAAGACGTCAAGAGGCATAATGAGGAGGGAGGTGTCTGGTTGATGATTCACAATAAAGTCTACGAATGCAGTGCCTTTGCAGCTAAGCACCGGTACGTTAAACAACAAACTCCACTTACCACCTCACACTTCGCTGAAACATCACCCTATTCACTCTTAGGGCAGGTGAAGATCTATTGTTCGAAGTCGCAGGCAAAGATGCAACGGAGGCATTCGACACCGTGAATCACAGCAAACATGCTCATAAGCTGTTGGGTAGTATGCTACTCGGCGAACTAATATCTGAGGTCAGTATATTCTTGATGGGAGCTATTCCACCGATTTTTGACAGTACAGGATGCACATCCTGGCTTCAAAAAGGAAGTGGGCTAGATACATATGTACCTAAGTACTTATTCTAACTGGTTGTGTTTCCGTTACTAGACCCAAACGTCCCAATTTACAAGTACCTCCACCAAAAAGACCATTAGCGACATTCAAATCACTCTTGTGCTCTTTGGAATGTTTGTGCCATGCGTCTTTTATCTGTTTTTCTCCCTGGACATGAGTATTTTCAAAATTGAATTTCCGTTATATCCCTTCTATTTCGCCAGACGAGTTTTATCTAGCAAAATAGAGAAGCCCATATATATGCAGGACATGATAAAGTTCGTCTCGCTCTCTATGGCAGGAGGAAAGTTGGCAAACGGATCCTGGGTATCGAATGGTCAATGCGTTCCTCGGTGGTAAGGTAGTTGCAAAAATGATCATGGGAGGAAATGACATGGGCTTGGTTCACCTTGGAAGCATACAGTGCCAAGCTGAACTTAATGTCTACCTACCAATAGGATGGTTTTGATATGGGTACCAAGGTATGTGTGGGGCCTTTTCGCGATCTGGCTTAAAAGGGTAAGTGACAGACGGAGATCCACCCTTGAGGTAGAAGGAAGAAAGCAGTATTCCCAGAGATTTATTTGACACTGGATTGGAACAATAGGGATGCTATAGAATGTTACCTTTACAAGCCTAGCATTTTGTCCAAGTCCATTTCAATTCCCTTGAGATAACCACTTCTGCTATTTTACATCTCTAATTAAGGAATCCTAAAGAAACAGCTTGCAATATGGGTGTCCTACACATACAACAGGTACATGTGATATATCATCCTCTTAAATATAAGTGTCTTCTAACCATTCGTTCTATCAAGCTGTACACCTACCCGATAAAATCCCTCCGAGGCATCTCACTACCAACCATCACCGCAACATCCACCGGTTTCCTCCACGACCGCCAGTTCATGCTATGGGATGTCACAAAATCAGAAACCATGCATATCGGTCTTCGACCGGCAATGTGCCTTTTCATTACCAAATTCGATAGCCCACGAGAGCCGAACGCAGTCGAAGTCACGTACGGTTTGGAACACACATATGACAAACCCGGGGAACCAGTAGATAATAGTTCTCTGTCTGTACCTTTGCGTCCCGATCCGAGTGGCTTGGAGAAAATGGAGATCACAATGCACAAGAGCTGTACCCTGGCATACGACATGGGCGAACCATATAACGAGTGGTTTACCAAGCGGTTTGGGTACGCGGTCAAGCTGTTGTATATTGGGGAGAATCGGAGGAAGGTGTTGGGCAATCTTCCGCCAAAACAGGTATCGAAAGTATTTCTGCCATGTTTTCCAACCGCCACAGGACTTGCTTTTGTCCTATTAGGTGTTTATCTGGCATTATCTCTCAAGTCCATGCCCACACTGTCAACCCTCGCGCTCGGACTCCCCATTCTATGCTCCCTTATATGTTTCCTCGCCGCCAAAAGAAGCCAGGCATCAGCCTGCCACGGAATCACATTTGCAGATCTAGCCCCTTTCCTTGTCATTTCAGCCACCAGCCACCAGAACGTTCAAGCACGACTCCCTGATGACGAAATCCTAGACATCACCAAATTCCGGCCAAATGTTGTGGTCGCTGGTGCAGCTGAGCCATTTGAAGAGGATTTCTGGTCTGAGCTGCAAATTGGTGAGGATATCAGAATGGAATTGACGCAGAACTGTGCGCGATGCAGTAGCCTTAACGTTGATTACGCTACGGGCAAAATTGCGCCTGGGGAGGCAGGAAAAGTGCTCAAAATCCTGAGCAAATATCGGAGGGTGGATCCGGGGACGAAATGGAGTCCCGTGTTTGGGAGATATGGATTTCTACTGGGTACAAAGAGCACCTTTGATGTTGCTACTATGACTGAAGGGGATGAGATTAGGATACTGAAGAGAAATCAAGAAAGGACAGTTATGGGTGAGTTGATACCTTTTCGACAGCCTTTATAGCTACAGTTTACTAACTCGAAGAAGAATACCCTAAATGATCTTTAGAATGCCTCATCACTCTGATCTGTGAGTTAAAAGCTGGCCATTTGGCGTCTGAGATGGACTTGTGTTGAGGCGATTGGGAAAATACCCTGTATCTAGACCGCCCTGCTTTTGTTGGTATCTGCCGGCAGAAACTTTAAGTTATATCGCGACGCTATCACGTCGCGTCGTTATCCAACACATCGCCTGGACTTTCATGACTTTTGGGCCTTTCGTTATTTGGCAGTTGCTACAATAAAGACGATAAATCTCCCAAAAATGGAGGCCCCGCACTCGGCTGTTGCCCAACTCACCGAGGATGCTCATAGTGAGAGCATGGGCTCCCAGAATTCCCAGACCGCGGAAGAGTACGGCGCATTCCCCCAAAAATCTCCCCCACATTAGAGAGGTGATAATACTAACCGGCTTTAGATTCATTGAGTCCCAGCTCCAACTAGAGGCAGATGCGCGCGAGGCTCTTCCTTATGTGAGTGTCTTGACAAGCAGCAGGTGGCGAGCGACCTGTTCCGCAGCTGACCTATTGGCTTTAGGCTTTTGACTCTTGCACATATGACCTCGGACCACTGCGACAAGTCCTGTTCGCATGCCTCACCTGCAATCCTCCTCCTACCGACTCCAACGAATCCTACACTGCCGCTGCCGTCTGTTACTCGTGCTCGATCGCTTGTCACGGCGAGCATACTCTAGTTGAGCTCTTCAACAAGCGCAACTTTGTCTGCGATTGTGGAACTACCCGTTTACCATCGTCTTCTTGCTGTACCCTCCGTGAAGATCCCGCAACCGGCAAGAAAGGTGTGCACTCCCAAGAGGCTGCGGCAGGCAACAGATACAACCATAACTTCCGTAATCAGTTCTGTGGCTGCGGCGAACAGTATGATGCATATTCAGAGAAGGGGACAATGTACCAGTGCCTGGGGCTTGGTACCGTCGAGACTGGAGGCTGTGGTGAGGACTGGTGGCACCCGGAGTGTCTCATCGGCTTGTCGCGTGATTGGAACAAGGCTGCCCCCAAGGCCAATGGACTCGGTGGCGGTGATGCCACTAATGAAACTTCAGTTGAGGACGAAGAAGATATGCTCCCGCCTGGGTTTCCCGCAGAGGATGATTTCGACCATCTGATCTGCTTCAAATGCATCGACTCTAACCCCTGGATCAAGCCATATGCGGGCACTCCCGGATTCTTGCCGCCAGTTTTCCGAGAAGGTGGGCTCAAGAAGACCTCAAATGTGACTAAGCACCTCTCCGCTGAGCCCAAGGAGATCGAACACAAGGATCAAGAGAAGACTGCACACTCAAAAAAGCGCAAGGCAGATGACGAAGGGCACACTGGAGGAGAGCCTGTCACCAAGCGTACTAAAGAAGAAGAAGCTTCTGTCGAGGGGCAGCCATCAAAGGTCATGAAGGAAGAGGAGCCTACCAAGGAGGAAAACGATACTCCGACAAAGCCATCCGCCCCCAAGCACACCGAGCTCCCCAAGTCCACTCCAATGGAATCATTCTCCCTCTTTGCCTTGGAAGATTTCCATGGTCAGCTGTGCCGCTGTGCCGACTGCTTCCCCAAGCTTGTTCCCCACCCCCAGCTTCGCGAAGAAGAAGATACCTATGAGCCTCCCATGTCTGACGACGGCCAGGCTGATGGTGCTGCAAGTGTGGGTACAGGCAGCATCTACGATCGGGGCGAGGCGGCACTAAACAACATGGATCGGGTGCGCGCCATCGAGGGCGCAATGGCATACAACCATCTGCGTGACAAACTCAAGGTGTTCCTGCAGCCCTTCGCTGAGAGCGGACAGGCTGTCAGTGCGGATGATATCAAGGGCTACTTTGAAGCGCTGCGCGGTGATGAGCAGGGCATAAAAGATGCCGCTAATCACGCTTCTACAGTGGGTGGTGACAGCAAGGATGATACCAGCGGAGACAAGCGACATGAACAGAACGGTATGTGACTATCAATCCCTTTGTCTCATTTTCTGGCAATGATTACTGACTCTTCGTTTTGGTCGCAGGGTACTGATTATCTTTTTACGCAATCCTTTTGTTCTTTTCGGTGTTATCATCGGGTGCTATCTGGGTCTTCGGGGATGGTTCGACATGTACGATATTTCGGGTATAGGATGGGAAAATGGGCAGTTATGGGAGATACCCAAGGATGGGTACGAATGGCGCATCCCATGCAATCGGAATGATTACTATCTAGCAGAGCTTGAATGAGTCCTTCAATCGGGAATCAATCCCCGTTCATAATACAAAACACATAGTCATCATAGCCCCAGGGCTGAATGGCCACTAGCAAATCCCGCGTAAATCCTCATGATGCAATTTCGCTAGTTATTGTAACGCCAACACCGAATTAAATGCATGATGTGGGTGGATATCACGGCCAGCCTGTCCACGCGCCGCAAAAATATGATCAACAGAGATGCAGCAAGCAAATGAAAAGATTACTCCTTGAGGCGCTTGGAAGCCCTCATCAACGAATCATCTGGCAGTCCGCTCCGTTTGGTGCCAGGGAGACTACCGGTGCGAATATCATTATCATCTTGGGTGACACGACGGTGTGGGTATTTGCCCTCGATACCCTCGAAGCAGTTACCACTGATAGGGCCGCCATTGGTAAAGTAAGGGTGCTCAAGCGCTTGCTCGGCGGTCATCCGCTTGCTTGGGTCATATTCGAGCATACGCGATAAAAGATCGAATCCGTCTGAACCGGGAGTGCCGGCACTGGAGGTGGACGTGTATCCGCCGTTTTTCAAACAGCTCTGGTACCAGCCTTCAAGATTAGAACCGCGATGGAAATGTGAAGGCTGGCGGTGGAGCACCAGGGACTGGAGTTGGGAATATTCGGGCATGGAGGCTAGACCTGGCCAGGATTCTTTGCGCGGAAGACCGAGGATTTCGACAATCTTCATCATTTGGTTCCGTTGGAAGGGGACAGTTTTCTTGCTGTCCATTTTGGCTTCTTCGCCTTTGAAGATTGGCCGTAGCGAGAGTAGTTCGGCGAAGATGCATCCTATTGCCCACATATCGACGGCAGGAGTATAGTGCCGGCTTCCCATGAGAAGCTCGGGTGCACGGTACCAGATTGTGACGACGACCTTGTCGCCAGAGAACAGGGAATTGAGCGGCTTGTAGAACAGACGTGCTAGCCCTAAGTCGCCGATGCGAATAGCACCGCTTGAGGTGACGAGGATATTGGCTGGTTTCAAATCACGATGCAGGACCCAGTTTGTATGAAGATAGAGCAGTCCATTCAACAACTGGAACATGATAGACCGGACCATGGGCGCTGGGATAGCATGTCGCTGAGGCTGGGTGTGATGATGAATGATCTGCAGCAGATCATGCTCTGTATATTCAAATACCATGAAGATGCATTTGTCCTCCAGAATGATCTCTTCTAGTTGGACAACATTGGCATGTGAGAGTTCAGTGCACAATGCCATTTCACGGATAGCCGACTGCGACAGACCCGTGTACTGGATTGTTTCGCCTTCCTTGTCAGGCTTGAACCTGGATAAGGTTAGAATGAAGAAATCAAATGCTGGAGGGCTTTTACTTTTTGATTGCAAACTCCCCTTTCTTGCCATTCTTGCCAACGGCCTTGTACACTCGGCCATAGGTACCGCTGCTGATGAAGCCCACTATGTTATACCGATCTCGGACCCGGACTTTGCTTGTATACCCACCGGGTCTTCTTGATTCAATGGCATCTGTATAAACCCCCGGTTAGCATACTCCGGTTGCCGGGTTGAGAATCGAATGTGTTCGCGAAGATCCTTTCCAATTTGCAAGTTCGCACCACAGAGACAAGATCATCACAAAGAATCAAAGGGAAAGAGTTACCACGAGAATAGAATCCTCCAGAATTCAAGAAAGGGAAACCCTTTCCAAACATGATGGAAAGATAGAAAGAGACAAGGCGTTACACCAAGGAATCACGAGTAATCAGATTCAAGGAATATATATAATTACCATCGACAGTAGCCTGGAGACTCCGTTTCAAGTTACCGACTCTGGTTCGCGAGAGAGAGCCGGAGGAAGAGGGCGGGTTCGTCAGACTCATTTGTGGATCAGAAGGGACCGGTGATGTTGTCACTCCATTGGTGGAGAGATACCTTCTCCAGGGTTTCCAGTTCTTTGAATATAAGAAAGGATTTGAAGATTAGAGAGATATTATAAAGTATTGTCTGAATTGTACAATGCGATGAGTTCAGCCCGCCGAGTCAACGCTTAGTCAGATCACATGTCGGGTCCAGCTATGGGTGCTCCAGCTTGCATAGGCGTAGCTTCACTTCTTATAGCTTCAACTCTATCTCAACTGGTTCAAGTCATTTCTGAATTGTGAAGGAATCTATGTGATTCAATGTGAAATTTGAATACCTAGGCAGACCTTTCTCGTCTGGCCATCTTATCTCTAGGATCGGCAAACGTCATCTTAAGCTCCGGCCCTCCTGACGTTGCCTTCAACCTATCCCGGGGTCGTCGATCGACCTAGAATTTATCTCAACGATGGTTTTGGGCGCACCAACCCGGTCGAGTGTTACACCGTACTTGATATATCTTGTGTTTGTTGTCACGCTTGGTCCGCTTCAATTTGGCTTCCACCTAGTACGATATCACCCCCTCTATGTGTACATGCACTGAACATTACTGATACATGGATTATACAGGCAGAGCTCAATGCCCCAAAAACCGCGATAACATGCGAACGTCAAGGAATTCATTCTTCCGGCATCACTTTCCATGGTCTACCGCAATGTTTCCCTATGACGCCATCCCAATTCGGCCTCGTCTCTTCGATCTACACACTCGGTGGCTTACTTGGAGCTCTGTTGGCCGGACCCATCGCGACCAAATACGGACGTCTGCTTGCATTACGAGCGACCACGGTATTCTTTGTTCTGGGGCCCGTGGCGGAGACACTTGCGCCAGCGATTTCCCTCTTGAGTCTTGGTAGATTCCTCTCTGGAATTGGCTCTGGTGCTGCAATTGTGGTTGGCCCTATCTATATCTCGGAAGTTGCTCCTCCCAGTGCTCGAGGCCTTTTTGGCGCCTTTACCCAGATTATGACCAATGTCGGTATTCTGTTGACACAATCCCTGGGATACTTCTGGAGTGAAGGAAGACTCTGGAGATTCATACTGGCTGTGGCCGGAGTCATCGGTGCTCTGGAACTTTTGGGGCTCTTCTTGGTACCAGAAAGTCCTTCATGGCTCGCGGAACACCAGAAGACCAGCCAGGCACGCCGGGTCCTGCAGCGGATCCGTGGTCGAGATGCCGACATTGAAGCGGAGATTGCGAGCTGGAGGACCTCAGATGCGCCTGCATCTGGCGAGCAGGAATCATTGCTCTCTCCATCCGGTGGCGGGCCGCCTAAGAAGCCTGAAGTCACGTTTATGGAAGTTGTCAAAGATCCCCAATACCGCCCAGCTATTATTGCTGTGGTTGGCGTGATGGTCGCCCAGCAACTCACCGGGATGAACAGTATCGTTATGTACAGCGTTTCCTTACTACAAAGCATCTTACCGACGACCGCTGCGCTACTCACGGTAATGATATCTGCGGTTAATCTTGTGATCACGCTGGCGTGCTCTCCTCTGCCCGATCGCATTGGCCGAAAGTTGTGTCTGATGCTGAGCATCTGCGGTATGGGCTGCAGTTCTATACTTCTCGCTATAAGTATTCACATTCATGCTAAGATACTGACGGCGATCGCTGCCTTACTTTTTGTGGCATCTTTTGCGGTCGGACTTGGCCCGGTCCCCTTTATCCTGGCCTCCGAGCTTGTTGGGCCCGAGGCTGTCGGCGCAGCACAGAGCTGGGCGCTGGGTGCCAACTGGATCGCAACCTTTGTGGTGGCACAATTCTTCCCAGTGCTTGATGATGCTCTCGGTAGTCGTGGACAGGTATACTGGGTGTTTGCAGCTATGGCCGGGTTGCTTGGGGTCTTCATCTATCGATATGTGCCGGAAACCAAGGGCAAAGCTAATGCCGACGAGGTTTGGGGGCGAACAGACCGACGACAAGACTGACTTTAGATTTGTCCTTTCCTATAACATTCATAGCAATATCATTTTCCAGATTAACTCCTCGCTACAATATACATAGTAGGTCTCGACATTTGTATGGGATGCGGGGTACTGCATATCGTGCAGGGCCTTGCGGACTACATTGCATGAATGTCTTGTTTAAATGAAAGAAATACATATGTACATATGTTCCGGGCATCGCCAAGTACACAATAGGCATCCATTTTTCCATTTTTCCCTACGGACTAATAACTTGCGGTGTGGAGCCTTTTGATATCCCCAGTTTGCCCCCAATTCACAGTGTTTCTCCCACTTTTCCCCTCAAGTTTCTCTACATTTCCGTTGAGATCTAACGATCTGCCCTTCAACATTTGGACCAATCCCTGTGTTTTGAAAAATAACCGAAAAGAACTTGGAAATTACAGTGGGTAAATCCGTTTCTTGGCTGATCGACCTGGATCACAACCAACGGATCGTCGATCAACTACTCTGGGGTCTCTTAAACGTCAACAATTGTGTTGACCAGGGGGCAAGCCACCCGCCCAACACTTTTTTTCCCTTTCTATTTGCTTTTTCTTGTCTTTCTTCTCATTTTGTGTACATCCGCAATGGTCCGGTTGGCACTACCCCAACGGTTGAGCTCGCACCTTTCTGCGAGGAGCGCGTCGTCGACTCCCGGACAGAGCAGAAGCGCCAGTCCATTGCGATCGACAGAAACCAAACATCTGCTACTCAAGGTTTCAGTAATCCGGGTAAGTACTGAGGAATTGGGTGACCTTTTTCGTGTTCTCATGGGCTCCCTGGCTGATTTCAATGGTTTCACTAGGGACGCAACCTCGCAGCGAAAGATCGAGGTGGCACGAGCGACCCAGTGAGCACCCTTCCAATAAGACAATTCGAACCGAGACCGCTTACGTGTTGTACAGTATTTGGTGGTTACATTAGGAGATGCGAGGCAGTCGACACCGACCATATTCAAGACCCT